CTTCCTTCCTTCCTTCCTTCCTTCCATCCATCCATCCATCCATCCATCCATCTATCTGTCTTTATTGATTTCAGAGAGAAGAAGGGAGAGGGAGAGAGAGAAACATCACTGATGAGAGAGTCATTGATCGACTGCCTCCTGCATGCCCCCAACTGGAGAGCGAGCCCGCAACCCGGGCATGTGCCCTGACTGGGAATCGAACCCCGATCGCCTGGATTCTAGGTGGATGCTCAACGCTGAGCCACGCCCAGCTGGGTGAGGGCTCATTTCACAGGGTGAATTTTATGACACAGTTGGCTTTTGCTATTCATGGCAATGTGGTCTGTAAAGCTGCCCCGAGGGAAATACAAGATTAGGTTCCTGCAAACCTCAGCTATAGTTTTCATCAACCGATCCACACATAACTTTGTTTAGGTGTGTTTCTGTTTAGAGACACCTTGTTTCATGTACACTGTTGACTCATTAACACTGAACTTGTGGCCAACAGCACTATAACTCAAGTCTGAAAGGAGCTTATCTCACACATGTATTTTCTCCCTGGGGCACAACACAGCCCTCCTGCCCTCAGGGGCCTTAGACAGCACTTCGGCACTACCTTGGGGGCCATGGGAAACAGTGAAATCGCCAACAAAAAGCACAGAGATACAGAAGGCAGGACACGAGACAGAAAAGGGCGCTGCTTACAGCAGGAGGGCTGAGACAGGAAGCAAAGTGTGGTTTTATTCAACCTCAGCGGGGAATGTGTGCATCAGGGGCTGGAATTTAAAAAAAATATGTTTTTATTGATTTTAAAGAGAGAGGAAGGGAGAGGGAGAGAGAGAGAAACATTGATGAGAGAGAAACATTGATCTGCTGCCTCCTACACACCCCCTACTGGGAATTGAGCCCCAAACCTGGGTATGTGCCCTGGCCGGGAAGTGAAATGATGACCTATTGGTGCATGGAAGACACTCAGCCAACTGAGCCACACTGGCCAGGGCCGGTGACTGAAATTTTTACCCTCCTACCTCTGCATGTCCAAAGCATCTCAAGTATTGATTTTGAGGTAGCAAATAAATTTTAGTGAGTTGGTGAATTTCCAAATTTAGGATCCACAAGTAATGAGAATCAACTGTGTATGAATTATATTTCAATTAAGACAAAACTAAACAGAACCAACAAAAAATCAGCATGACTCCAGTGGGCGTCCACAAGTCCAAACCGGATCCCACAGCCTGGCCTCCTGCTCCCTCTCGGTTTCCATCAGGGAGGGAGAGAAAATAAAAGGGTGGAAAGGCGAGCCGGAGCTTTCCCCCCTGCGGTGCCTCCTGATCGCTAAGCCTCACAGGCGGGTGTGTTTGCACAGCTGTTGGTTTGTACATACTATTTTGCATTTTGCTTTTTTCTCCAAACACACATTTCCATATGTCAACAAAGTCCTCACACCTGTCATTTGAAGAGTGGAGAGCACTTCGTGGCAGCTTCCAAGGTCCCTAACAACCTGGCCTCCCACTTCCCGGCCAACTTTTATTTCCCGCTCACCTGTTATTCCCACCCTGCGTGCCTGACCGACTCCCCCCGCCATCCTTCCACCCCCTCATCTGGTTCCCGGCCATCCCGACGCTGGTGTTGCTCAGGCTGTGAGCCTCTTCTCGTCCATTTCTAACGACAATACCCCTTGCACTGTGCTCTATACACGACCCCAGTCACACCAGGCTACACGCTCATGGGCTGGTGGCACCAACCCTCTAAGCTTTATGGCTTAATATACAAGAAGGGGGATGCAGGTTGATGTTTCAGAAATATCTACAAGATACTGGGTTACCAAGGGTCATCTCAAAATTACTCTTTGGTCATTTGGGGGCAACAAACACCTTCTTTTAAAAAAAGTATGTTTGTTTTTTTAAATTGATTTAGAGGGGGGGAGAGAGAGAGAGAGAAACATGAATGATGAGAGAGAATCATCGATCGGCTGCCTCCTGTGCGCCCCCTACTGGGGATCGAGCCTGATACCTGGGCATGTGCTCCAACTGGGAATCGAACCACTCAACCACTGAGCCACACCAACTGGGCAACATCTTATTCTTAAAGGATTATGCAGCTGGAATGACCTTGTCATCATCTGGTCTCCTTTTCTGCCTCTACTTGATGCGCACGGCCACTAAACACCTGCTCTCGACACCTCTCAAACCCAGTGATTCTGACCCCGGGCAGGTATAGCGCCAGCCCATCAGTGCACACTCGTATGCACACTCACCCACCACCCGTGTCTAATCACATCCATTGAGGATGCATACACTGATTTTGATGAGGTGGAGGCCAGGCCTTCGAAAGCCAGGTTGAGATCTCTGATTACTCTTTCGAACATATCTGGAGAGTAGAAAGACTTGGGGACTTTGCATCAAAATTCATGTTTTGAATTTGCCCGCAGTGTGATGTCCATGAGCAGTGGTGAGGCGGGGTGGGGACGGTGAAGTTAAACTCTCATTTCTGTACCTACTGTGTGCCAGCGCTATACTGAGCGCTTTAACTATGTTACCTCAAATCCTTTAACAGGGCCAGAGTGCAAACCTAGGCCTCCCAACTTACCTTCTCTACAAATCACCAAGAGCCATTTTCCTCACTTATAAGATGGAGATAATATTTCCGACTTTGCAGGGTCATTCTGAGAATCAAGCGAGATAATATTCCTAACCCAGGAAATCAGTGCTGGGTGAAGGATCATGTCATCCAGTCCTCGCCCCCACAAAGAGGGAAACACTGAAAAGCAGCACTAAGCTGCCTGGAGTCCTGGAAGCACCTTCTGTGGCACCCCGAGTGCTTAAGTACAGTTCTGTGTGGAGGAACCTTATGGGCTGGAGGCAATACTGCTCACCCATGCTTCGATCCGAAAGACTCTGCAAACGCATTAGATCCCCAAGACCGCAGGATGGAGGTCTGTCTCTTGGGCAGCCTTGGAGCAGCTGCCCAGGTGGAGCTCAGGCTTTTCCAGGTCCCCAAATACAAGAGGCCCCAGGATGTACCCGCTGCCCCACCGCATGCTTGAGGTGCTGTGGCACTCCCCCGCCCACCACCCTTGGGGCTCCTCCTTCCAGGGGCCTCAGGACTGAACTGAACACAGTCCCACATCTCCAAGCTCCCGCTGGCCCTGCTCCATCCCACTTGTGCCACACGAGCTCTGGTGGCTCATTTAGCTGTTCCTACTTCCAGTCTGTGTATTCAGAGAAGGCAAATACAAATTCATTTTTAAATTAGCCCTAGAGCCCTGGCCAGTGTGGCTCAGCGGTTAGAGCATCAGGCTGCACAATGAAGGGTCATGGGTTCAAATCCCGGTCAAGGGCACATACCTGGGTTGCAGGTTTGCTCCCAGCTCTGGGCTCTGGTTGAGGTGTGTGCGGAAGGCAACCAATCAGTGTGTCTCTCTCACATCCATGTTTCTCTGTCTCTCTCCCCTCTGCTCCCTCCCACTTTCTCTAAAAATCAATGGAAAAAATAACCTAGGGCGAGGAGTAATTAAAAAAAAGAAGTTAGTCCTAGAAAAACAGACCCAGAAGGTGAGGTCCCCTCACTCGCCACAGGACAGAGGCAGCTGGCATGGGGCGCGCTGCTCAGTGGTGACCTGGTTCAGTGCGCAAACGCCCAGGTGCAGATAGCATCCACCCGCGCGGGTGCTGAATTTCCCGACCTGCCTCTGAGCCTCAGAGAACTGAGGAAAGAAGAGGCTTGGAGGTGGCACCCAAGTGCCATGCATGATCCTGGATTGGATCCTGGATGGGAGGAGGGGTGTGCCATGAAGGACATCAATGGGATGGTGGGCAGTAATTGAATATATATTAAGGTGTGTTAGATAATAGTGTCACATCGACGTTAAATTCCTGGAGTTGATAGTTGGACAGAGAAGTCTCTGCTCTTAGGTGGCGCACACTGAAGTACTTAGGAGTAAAGGGACGTGTCTCAAATTACTCCTCAGGGGTTTGGGGAAAACACTGTGTGTGTCTGTCGAGTGAGGAAGGGAGCGACTATGGCAGAGCTCAGTGAATCTGGGCGAAGGCTCTAGAAGTTCTTTGAGCCACTCCTACAGCTTTTTTGCATGTTAGGGTTGGTTGGAGAGAAAAAGTTACTTAATGCCACTGAACTGTACATTTAAAACTGGTTAAAATGGTAAGTATTATGTTATGTGTATCTTACAATTTTAAAAAAATATTTTTTATTGATTTTTA